AGCGATCCACCCGCCTCGGCCTCCCAGAGTGCTAGGATTACAGGCGTTGAGCCACCGCGCCCGGCAATTTTATCGTTTTTTTACAACACTAAAATTTTGGCATGGTGACTCTCAATTTGGGCTTGTGTCATGTTTCCTCGAGGTTAGATTCAGGTGGTGTGCATGAGGACTATCGCAGAGGTGACGTTGTGTGCTTCCCAGCATGTCCCGTTGGGGCTTACCAAGTCATTTTGTCCTAATACGGGTGCGGCTGAGCTTAATCACCTGGCTGAGGCGAAGTCACTGGGTCTCTTCGCTGTAATGTGCCTTTCCTCCTTTGTGATTAGTAAGCTACCTGTGGGTGACACTTGGAGACCCTGTGTGCATCCAGTTTTTTAAAAAGTCTGAGTGGCCGAAGAAAGCACATCCGGGGGACAGATACCATGTTACGAGGCCCTCCAGGCCACCAGTGGGAAGTTTCCAGCTTAGGATACCAGAAGGGTCTTCAGCAAACACTTTTCCATCGTCCTGGTGGGGGCGTGGGGAGAGGGTTGGGGAGCTACCAAGAGAGGCCCAGGTTGTTTGGGTGGGTGCAGGTATCCACGCTGGGACCCCCAAGAGCACCTATCTTCTTGCAGCTCCGGGATTGTGGAGGGCTGCGGGAGGTGGAGGTGACCGCGTGCCTGGTGTGGAAGGACTGGCCTCACCGAGTCCACCCCCACAGCCTCGTGGGGAAGGACTGCACCGACGGCGTCTGCAGGGTGCGGCTCCGGCCCCACGTCAGCCCCCGGCACAGGTACCCACCCCCTGCCCCACCCCTCACCCTTGGTCACGGAGATTCTGAGGGGCTGAAGATAGATCACTCAGGGCAACCTGAGGGCAGGGGCAGCTTAGCCAGGCCTCCCTGCTGCATCTCCTAGATGGGGAAACCGAGGCCTGGGGGCAGAGGAGGGCCTCACCTAGGCCTGGAGCTCTGCCAGAAACACACTCACACACATCCTATTGATCCCCTTTTTGTAGAGGAGGAAACTGAGGCTGAGAGGGTTAAGGAGCACAGATAATGGCAGAGCTGGAATTTGACTCCAGACCTGACTTAAAACTGCAAGGCCTGCTCTTTGTCTCACTTTATGATTTATTTTTTTATTTTTATTTTTTTTTTTTGGAGGCAGAGTCTCATTCTGTCACCCGGGCTAGAGTGCTGTGGCTTCAGCCTAGCTCACAGCAGCCTCAAACTCCTGGGCTCAAGC